ATCATCTCACGTAAGTGACCTCTTCTGAAAATCATCAGTGTTAGATTTTATATTTATTGCCCAGTCATTTTCCTTTTACTTTCACTTCTACTTTCGTTGACTTCTAGCAGAATGCCAATTAGTTAATATATTTAAGCACAGTTTCTTTGAGTTCAAGAAAGAACTTGTGTCAGCTATTGCTGACCGACCAGCTGCTATCTCTTCCCAATGCATGAATTTCCTGAATAGGCTGTAGCCTTACTTGCTGTAATCGTTTATATTATTTAAACGCCTAAGGCAAAGCTTATTTGCCATTTTGGCCATTTTGTCATATAAATATCATATTTTAACGTTTTAATTTGACTTTAAATTTTTTTCTGTTATTCCCGAAAAGCGAGAGTTTTATTTCTAGAATTACACAGGTTGTGTAATCGCAAGGCTGATGACTAATGAAAGTGTTTATATTAAACTATTTCCTGCTTTGGAATCGTTTTACTGAGTAATTAAGATGAGCGGTAAGTTACCTGATCATTTTCAGGAAATCAGAGATTAAAATCTAAAGATCCGTACAAGTAGTTATTAAAACACAAATATCATTTAGGTAATTACAGAGGGTGTTTTTTTAGAACGATTTCGAGACCGTTTCATCAGTGTTTAAAATGTAAAAAGTACTTTTTAAATCTTCGATCTGATAGCTTCTTCTCTGGGCTAAAGGTCTCGTGATTTCCGTGAAAGAAGGACCTTTCATAAAATTTCCAGTGGCACTGATTTCTAGTTCCGTTTTTTTACCATTAGTTAGTGGCGTTTTCTAAGATTCAGCAACCAACTACTTAAAAAAAAAAAAGAAAAACAAACTTCCAACTAACTTAAGTAAAAGAAACTGCTAGACCAAGGAAAGATTCAAAACATATTTGCCTTCGTTTCCTTCTCTTTAGGACATTTTAGCATATTATTATCATTTTATTATAAAGGAACGAAAACATGGGAAGAAAAAAAATTCAAGGGCCGCTTCACTATATTTAATTATCAAGCTTACAAATTTAGTTATGTTTTTTCTTTTATTTATATATAGATATTTTAGCTATTCAATATATGCAGTTATTTCTTTTATTTATGATGCTAATTACATATAGCCATACGTCAATGAAGAACGCTAGAAATATTTATTTATTTATTACTTTTATAAAATCTCGATAAATTAATTACCTTCTAAAAAATAGTAAAATCAGTCACTGATTTTTTTTTTTTAACTTTTTCAAAAGGAGTCATTTTCAAGGAAGTTGATAGTCAATTTCTCATTATATTTTCAGTCGCTGTCATTGAATTATAAAATCAGATCCTAAGAAAAGTAAAAATAACGTATTGATATAAAGAAATAGATGAAATCCTTACCTCAAAGTTCATTTTCGGAAGGGAAAAAAATTGCTAGTTGGGTAAAGTAAAATATGAAGAAAAAATTACAAAAGAATGAGAATAGAAATTTAACTTCAAGTTTTTTAAACAATTTAATTTAAATTGTAAAAAAAAACCACCAATGTAAACATTAAAATTAGGCAAAGGTAAACTTTGTTCGACAGAGATTTTGAATAAAATCTTATCGATTTCCTATTCGAACTATCCTTTTTTTTCTTGAAAGTGAGAAATTCCTGTCTGACCGCAATCGAAATCCATACAGTTTTATTAACCTAAGTTTTTTTTTTCTATTTTAAAAATTTAGTTGATTATTAATTCAAAAATAATTTCCTGCAAGTGGATACTTTTTCCCCACTTTGAGGTAATATCCCATTGTTTCAAATGCACTGTGAAAGAAAGCCGATTGAATACCTGAGTTAAATTTACTCGTTAAGAATTGTTTGAAACAAATTTCGACAATGATCTATTTTATATAAATTGATCAGTTTTTTTAATTGAAATAAGTATTTTTTTTATCTTTAATACCCATTCGAATTATTCAGGTAAATCTCAAACATAAGAAACCAAAATAATTAAATAATCAGAAGGTTAACGCTATCATCTCAGAACTAGAAGCTTTTAAACAAAGCCTCATAAAATTATATATAAAATACAGAGGGTGTTTACGCATTTTTAAAAAACAATTTCAAGACCGTTTAATTAATGCTTAAAATGTAAATAATATTTTTAAATGTTCGATCTTATAACATTTTATCTGGGCTCTAAATCTGTACTGTGACTTCCCTGATAGAGGGACTTTTCATAAAATTTCCAAGGGTATTGATTTTTATTCCTCTTTTATAACTTTTCAAAGTCCATCAGTCGTGATAGGTTTGCTTTTAGAAAGAGATTTTTTTCACGAGACCTAAGTCTATAGCTGAAACATCAGGGGATTTTTCAGAAATAGGTTTAAAGGCTATATATTCAATGTCTATATCAGTCTTCATTTTTCAAGGAATGCAGTGGTTCTTCTCGAAGCATGACTTGTTGCTTTGTCTTTTATGAAATTTCACTCTTCAAGAGTCATTGGGGTAAAAGAATGGAACTTCTTCTGTAAATATCGGTCAAAAAATTTCTTTTCATAGTACGTTAATTTTAGCGTTTTTTCCCCCCACTTTTTAATTTCCCACTGTAAGAGAATCCTACCATGATCATGAAAAAAGCAAAGAAGGAAGTATTGACGGAACTTTCTTTGCATTGACGGGACCGGGTTTTTAGTACATTGTTTTCGATAATAAAAGTAGTCTATTTTTTGTTGTAGTCATTTAGGTGAAACCATGCTTCATCTTCTTTACGAAGACATCCCTTCGAGAGAGAGCCCTTGTGAGCTTTGCCTTATTTAAGTAATCTAATTAAACACTCCCTAACTCAATTAAGATCATCAAATGTGTTTTAAGACTACAGTTACAAAAACTGTCTTATTTCTATATCAGATACCTTTAAGTAATTTCCATAACTTTTTGTAAAACAAGAAAGACTTTATCCAGAAAAGAACCGTTAGTTTGACACAGATGTGGAACAAAAATTCTCTAGACTTCGATGGCAATCAGATCCAGGTCCCTCTTCTTCTCCAGAAAGAAAAACTATTTCCCTCTTCTTCTGAAAAGCGACCTGTGTTTGATCATTTTCGAAATCGAAAGAATTTTATTCAAAATATACGCCGAATTAAGTTTGCTTTTTTGCCTAATTTTAATTTTCACAATGGCATGTTTGAACAAGAATGATTTTTTTATAGAAAATAGAGCTTAATCATTTTTGAATTGTTATATTTTCCATTCTAAATGTGCTGTAATTAATCTCTAAGCTCGATTTAACGTTATAGGCATGCTATAAATCGTTCATTACATTCTTAAATGTTTATACTTACGTTTTCACTTTCTATTCAAACGACTAGTAACATATCACAAATTAATGTTTAACTTGAGGAAAAGAGATTTTACCTTCTCTTTTGAGGTTTTTATACTAACTGGTGTTATTCTATTTCATCTACTGCGCTCGCGTTTTGCGTTTAGAACACTGACTGAGGAAAATACTTTTGAAGTGCTTGTAATTTCAAGTTGTAGTTTAAGTTTCTGAAACCTTCTTCATACAAAAGCTGTAGATTTGATACAAATTTCTTTTGTTTCTAACAGCAAACATGATACTTATTATTTCTCTTTTCAAGGATGGATACTTATTATTTCTCTTTTCAAGGATGAGAAAGTGAAAAGTTTATTACTAAAGACAGCAGCAAAGAAATTTTTTATGACCACAGTTCAAGAACCATATAATTTTAGAAACTACCTCCTATCACTGCAGTTAAACGCACATTAACTAAATAGTACTATTGGTAGAAAATTTCAACAAGCCTTTAAAATTTTCACGGGATCCAAACAGGAACTTCAAAACGAAAACTCCTTCTTTTTTAAGAAATAAAAAAAAAATATTAAATAAAATTACGATTCTTAAAATATAGATTTGAGAAAAAGTAAAACTGATGCACTGAGAGGTTGTTCTGGAAAGGTGGAAAATGATAGATATAAATGACGACCAATATATATAAAAGATGGAATACATTTAGAAAAGGTGACTATCCAAATGTCTATATCACAAGTTCCTTTAAATGAACAGTAAAACCATACCAAACATGGTTTCTACAAAGCAAAAGTCATGCAATGAGAAAATCGCATGATCCACTTGTAAGCTTCTACGAAATTTGTTTTCTGTTATAATTTTTTCCCCCAGCATTTGATTTTTCTGTTGCTAACAATGCAGTGACACCCTAGTAAGGTTTCGAAACATGACTGTAGCCGAGAGCAAAAAAATGTCCCATTGTTCACTTTGGGTTCCAAGTTCTCCAGCCCCCCTTTTTAATCCAGCCGAACAAATTGATGCCACTTTGAGATTAAAAACCTTTCCTTGACCTTGAGTGTAACTGGAAATCGTCAGTGTGCTTGAGTGATTTCGTTATTGTTAGATTTGGTTTACATAGCACCAGAATCATTTTCTTCTGGGAAATTGCTTTGTGAGACTTTCTAATGTAGTTATAGATATAACCTGCGCTCGGAATTGGCAGTTACGTTCCGTTACCTTCTGTAGAAGTACAAACTGTGTACACTTCCTTGCTTTACATCGAATAAACCGTCCACGTACTATTTTTCGAACTATCTTTATAAATCGAAAAAATATTCTGAAGCACGCGCAGTTCTATTCATTTCATTTCACTGGCATTTGCAGAAGCAAAGGTATACAGGTCACAAGTAAATAACAACCGAGCGCTTGAAATAACCTGGTGGTAATAAATAGAAACTTTTAATACACATAATTTATAATACACATAATATTAGTATATAATGTATATATAATTAGGTTTTGTTATTTATATATCTGATGTTGATAAAATTTAGATACATCTTACGAAACTAAAACTGAAAAATAAAGTGACAATTTTACATGTATTGCACTTCATAAGCAATAGCAAATTTGTCTTTGGAGAAGTAATGAATCATAAATCTTGTAATTTTATAATAAGTTGTATAAATAATGTGTATTTGAATAAAGTTATCTAAAATCTGATTTTTATTTTTCAGTTTCCTTTCGAATGAGGATTCTGTTGCTTAGTCTGGTTTCTTGTATTCTAGTACCAAATGCTCAGTCATGTAAGTATTTTTTTTATGTCTTTCAGTTGTAGCTTATTGATATACCGAAACTTAACTACTGCATATGAAAAAATGCCTCGAAAAAGGATACATAAATAAATTTATCTCGAATGGTTAGTCAAATGTCGATACTTCTGATTAAAACGTATCAGGGGATATAGTCATCTGAAAAACCTGTGTAGTTAGATTCATTTTTTAAGATGGGACCACGGTCTGCGATCAGTGTACAATAGATATTTAACTAAATACTCCTATAATACATAATCACAGGCCATGTAAATTTAAATAAGTATTAGAGAAAAATTTAAAGTTGCATATTAGCATACAAAATACCCAAGAAATACTTTTAGGAAGCAGTAAGTAAATAAAATTAAATAATTTTTCATAGACATGCACTTATTTTTAATAAAAGCTTAATAATGGCAAAACTGAGGCTAAAAAATATAAAGGATTTTAAATAAAAAGTGATTAGCCTGTATACTTACTTTTAAAATAACGGGAAGAAAGCATGATTATTAGCACTCAGTGAAGACTTCGTAGAAAAGTACCTCATGCAGTGTATAGTTAAACATCTCATGCTTCTGATACAGTTTATATACTATATGTATATCTACACCTATCTACCTATATACATATATGTAATGAAAAAGACTTAGCAATATTGATGACGTAGAAAGTCAAACTTGGCAATCGAGGCATATTAAATATTCATCTTCAATCACTTCAATCGTGGCTATTCAAGAACATTTACAGTTTTGATACTGTTGCGATAGGAAGAAAGCAGTGAGACAGTGTCTTAGCAAGAACACAGGTAGAAGCAAAATGTGCGCAGTTATCCTGTTTGGAAGCTCATCCAGAGAAAGTTTCGGTTTAAGCTCCCAATTAGTTACGTCAAAGTTTCGATTTAAGTTTTGAATTAGTTTCGTTATTAAGTCATATGTATAGAATGATCTAAAAATGGCGCAGTCGAGAGAAACTTTGATGCATTGCAGATGCTAGGAGGATTCATATAAAAATCCAAGAAAGGAATTTTATTGCTAATTAAGTTATTAGTTTATTAGTGATTTATTTTCTTATTTTCTATTTTGCACACCACATTCATATATATGCTGCTTGCACAATTTGAAACTGCATGTGAAATAAGTCTGTCTTATAAACTGCTTACTCGGTACGAAACGAATATAATTCACGCAGCATCTTATGTATTTAAACAATTTAATGAAATTACCAAAATAAAACTAGATAAGAGTCTTGAAAATTTACGCAATAGAAACTAAAACCGAAAAATGCACATTAAGGCCATAGATTTTTAGTTTCTTTTGAAATTACACAAAAGTAAAGTTTTTGAGAATCTCAACATAGCGTTTGCAAATTAAACTGACTAAAATGTTTTGTACTGGAAATATATATATATATATAAATTTTTAATGAAATCCGCAAGTTAATCGATTCGGTTATAAGGCTTTGTTGTAAAATCTTTATATAAGCTAGTAATAGTAGGTAAGATGTACCAAACAGAACTTAAAAACTTTTAATAGAAGAAAAATATATAAAATGTATGACAGAACGTACGTTAAATTTGAGCTGGAATCTTGAAATATTATGTTCTCTATTTTTGGTTTCATACTGAAATCGCTATTTTGAAATTATCATTTGTTTCTGTTTCACAGCTCTCAGTTACGAAGCTTCCATCAAAAAAAAAAAAAAAAAAGGCAGGACTCTTTTTCCTTACCCTTTATGCCTTCTGAAAATCGTGGGGAAAGTCTCTTGAATAATTGATTGCAACTCTGAAGATGAGCATCACAAATATGAATTGTACGCGATCGAAAATGTTTTCCAAGTAACAGCACAATGCAAAACTTAGAAGTCTGTTATAGTTTAAATTCCGTATATTAATTTTTAATTAATTACTTACAGTAAATAACTTTATTTTTATTTCAAATATTTTATGTCTCTCATGTTTTGTGCTTAATATTATACTGGTTATAATATAATTAGATTTGGATAAATGCGGAACTTGTAAAAGTATAATTATTTCCTTGCATTACCTTTTATCCATAAAGAGAAAGCAGTACAAGACATAGAAGAAAAATGCATACACTGGTTTAAATTACTGCTAATTTCGTACAATTATACCAACTTACTAGCACAATTTACCCGACATACTATTAAGTATTCCGATTCAAAGTAGTTGACAGATAGGTGTTGAAAGAAACATAAATCAACCGAATATTTACGATATCGTGTACTGACTTAAATCTAATCATTAGCATATAGTTTCAAATAGCACCAAATTTCCCGGTCTGTTCTTTTGTTTCTTTTATAGCCTTCATTTTAGTTGTTTAATCATCTATTACTTTTATTTCTTTGTAATGCATGTAGCTTTTTTTAATGACCGGTTCGCACATTGTCGTAAGTTTCAACAACAGGTCAGGCCGACAATCTGCGGCCTCAGTTCTGTTCGGCAGTGAATTTTAATCACCATGACTTGTTTGGCCATTAGCGCTGAGCTACTCAGCTATTTTACCAATAACTGATTTACATGTTTCTTAAAATTTGAAACCATAATGCTATTATAATTTAATAAAAAACTTGTTTTGTAAAGAATATTTTGTATGTAGCCTCATTTATGTAAACATTATATGTACTCGGGATTTGGTAATATTTATATAGCAATTTAATCTTTATGCATTAGATGTGATTGAAGAAAATCTTCGGTTGGAGGGACTAATATTTTGGTAAATAAAATTTATCTTTAACTTGCGTACCGAGAATTACTGAATAAGCGGTTTACTGAAATGTCAAATCATTATTGAAATTAATTGAGTAAGCATATCACTGTCATAAACAATTAGGGATTGAGTCCATAGTGTTAATTAGGATCAACATTAAGATCAATGGTCTGCCGTCAACGGATTGATGGTAGTGGAAATGATGGATAAAAATTTATGGGTTGTTGCGTGTGGTAATTATTGAAACTATAATGGAGAAATGGACACCATTAATATTAAAAATGCTGAAAAGTGTTATAAAACATTCCGCTGTATTATGACTTTGCTAACAGCTGATAATTAAAAACAACTAAACAGGCATGAAATTTAATATAGAAAATACTTATTTAATTTAAGCAACTGTAATACTTATTTAATTTAAGCAACTGTAATACTTATTTAATTTAAGTAAATGCATACGTTTTCAGAACAAAAGCTAGCGATGACCAAGTGATTAAGACCAGTGAGCATTGTTAATAAATTTTTTATCCCGCAGTTCTTAATTGGCTGGATACGTGGAGCTGTGTTATTTTTTCACGTGTAGCATAAATATGAATTAATTCATATTTATGAGTTTCAGCATCTTAGTAAAAATATGACATTAATTTAATTCTTCACCTTTACATCTTCTACTGCGAACTTCTACATGTATTACCCAAGAAAATTTAGTACCTTGTACCTTTACAATAATAATCAACATAATTTAGCCTCAGCTTAAAGCCCCAACGGAAAGCCACTTGTTGATATAAGTATGGACAATCTTTTTGTCAAAAACTTTATCTTATTAATAAGGTATTTCTCCCGCTTTCTTAGCGAGCCTTCGTGGTGTAGTGGTCTGCACGCTCAGCGCGTAATTGAGAGGTCCGCGGTTCGATTCCCGGCGAAGGCGTTGCATATTTTTCATCTTTCTGCTTCCAAAATATCTAATGTCTTTGCAAGTTTAGCTAAGCTTCAAAACTGGGGGTACATGTTACCTGTACACGCACTTGGTTAAAAATCAAGAGTTGCAGTATTTGAAAAACGAGATGCAGTTGATTTGACCACCCAACCATCTATCACAGAATACTTCGTTTTGTATATTTACCTCAATGATGTTCTGCCTTGTTGCCAAATGTCTACTTGCACCTTGCTGACACATGAGTTTTGAATGCATATGAGAAATATATATATTGGAACTTTTTTGGCGACATAGGTTTACTAAAAATTAAAGTTCTAATAACTAAATAATATAAAAATTATAACAATATTAATAGTATTTGTTGTCATAGTTTTATGCATTTTTCACAATTAACTTATTCGCTCGCTTATTTTTCCCTTTTATTTATTAACATTATCTTCCAAAAATCGAGAGGAGAAAATTATGCTATTAATTTTATTTCCGAATGAAGAATTTACAATAAGAACATGAAAAATGAAAATACTCATGGATAAATTGCAAATAACTATTCTAATATTATTTCTTTAAATGAAACCTACATTCCTTTTAAATTACACTGCATTATCTAATAATATATCTTCATTTCTACTTCCCTATAATTTAAATCCCACTCATTCTCATTGCTGTTTCTGCTACTACTTGGGCCTCAAATCATCTATAGATAATTAGAGAAGGTGAATGTGCAGCCGACTCGGAGAAATTGTACACTGAATGTCAGTTCGAGTTTCCTTCACTGTTATAGATTGATTCTTGTATTAGGTTGGCACAAAGCTTAACAATTAGAAGGTAAAGGTTCTACATGATTTTCGCAGGTAGTTTGCAAAGGTTTATCTTTGTTAGCAAGACGATAACAATCACAACGGGGACGAATTCATTTTCAAATTTAGGGGATCTCTTTCTCTGAACGTTCTGAGGAAAAAGAGAATTTGGCGAAACTTTTTTAAATTTTCAGAACCTGTCGCTAAAAGGTTAATGTGAAAATTACACTTGGAACTACTGTAATTGATTAAATGAAAAAATAACATTTTCCCCGTCTTGTGAAATACTTCTTTATTTGGAAGCGTGGTAACTAGGTGTTTCTGAACCATTGAAAAAGCACTTAAAAAAAAAGTGAAAACATTAACTATTCTTACCTTTGTTCTGTATATGATTTCCAGTAAAAGGTAGAGTTTTTTTTATGGTGTCTGTATGTGTGAAAATTTTCCTAGTTTCTCCGTGCATGGTATAATCATGAAGGAGTTCTCAGAACTTGAAAAATAATATAATGTGCCCCCAAAATAAAAAAAAAAATA